TATACACACACACACACGCACATTCAAATAGCGATTAACTTCTTTTTTTTTTTTTTTGGTGGGGCCAGTGAAAATTTGGGCAGGGCAAGTAAAAATCAGAACCACTGGCCCGATCGGGCCAGTAGAAAAAATCCTTAGCGTTGAACCCTGTGAGCACTGCTTAGTTTAAACCCTCGCTATTGTAACGCATATAAATACATACACTACTATTTGCTGGTAGGAAAAATCTATTTGTTCACTTCTGTTATTTATACTTTGATTTGCATTTCAATTTTTTTTCTTCCACTTAACTGCAAATTTGAATAAAAACTGGATAAAGAGCACACAAACATGCTGACAGTAATAGGTACTGTACACTGTTATGGGTCAATGATGCTAATATTCGGCACAAATCCATCAGTTTCTTAGGTTATTAGATTATTTTATAATTTCACCTCTCCTGCTGTGCATGAACTATGCTGTTGAATGTTCAGCGTATGAGGTGGCTAGGCTAACCTTGCTTCAATTTTGATAAAATTATTTTCTAATCAGTTGCTATTACAGGGCTCGAAATTAACCTTTTTTCTTGGTAGCACCGGTGCTCCTAACTTTAAAAATGTAGGCGCATCAGCCACAATTTAGTCGCACCCACCAATTATGAGCACCGTTACTTCAAGTATAATACAAACATGTTTATTGCATTTGAAATCAACAGTAATCAAACTGACACGCAAAAAAAAAAAAAAATATATATATATATACATATATGCAAGCGTGAGGAAAATGTCTCAACGAAATCCCGTTATCACAAAAAATACATTTTATAACAAAACTGAGTGACCAAAGCATACACGGAGCGCTCATCGGCCCTGCACGTAGTGCTTGAATGAATCTGTTAACGGTATAACTCTGCTGTTCTCACAAGTGCTGTATGATATTGCACTGACTGATGCTTTTGACACATACTGTACCTTATTATATGCATAACGTTATACGTCATGTTAATAGCAATACTGTCTTTTCATGAGTAGCGATATTAGTTTACTTAGTGTAAGCCCGTTTACGATGCCGATGGTGAACGTAGTGTTAAATTTTACATATAGCTGTCCCTTGCACGGCGGACAACATCTGGCGATTATATGAAGGATTAAACAGAAGCTCTCGTGCTTGATGTGGCAAACAGTTACCTGAAAACTCCATCCTACAGACTTTTAGCGGACTGTGCCAATGGAAGTCTTTAATTCACTCTTGGAAAAGTGTAGATGGTGGATTAACATTCAGCACATGATTGACAACTAAGATGTGTCATTATTTATAACTTTAGATGCCATGGTTTCTAAAACAAAATCTGTCAGTGTCAGTTTCATTCTCATCTTTAGCGCTTTAGTTTTTCGCGGTAGTAGCTCTCTCTGTCATTCCAAGCAAGAAGGCGCTGGCTGCGGGATTGACAGCTGACATTAACCAATCATTCGCGTTCAGTGCTAGAGCAGTGGTGGGCCAATAAGAAGAGCGCAAAGGCGGGGCAAGCATTACGGACTTGTTACTGGAGCAAGTTGACATGACGACTGTGTAGGGGATCAACCTACGTTTTAATATCGATCAGGGGTTTATTAGCTCATTTCAATGAATCGGATCCTGAAGATTCGAATCATTGATTCGACTCAATTGAGTCAGATTGAATCAGATTAAAAGATTCACACTTTATCTACCATTTGTCCCGCAAATAGAAGACATCGTATCTTACCAATCTTGTTAATATTATTTACGTGGCCAACGATAATAACATAACACAGTATTGGGTTAACTTTAGCAGGGTAACAAGATCTACAGCTCGAGGCAATGACTTAGAAGCACATAAACAAGAACACAGTTCTTACAAAATGAGTACAAAGATTTATTGAGCTACACTACGATACATGAAACTAACTACGTAATAAGCAAACAACAAACAAACAAACACACATTCACACATACACACAAAGGCAGTTCAGAGGATGCAAAATGAGTTGACAACGTCCCAAATTAATTCTAATACTTCTTGCAAGATCTTAGAATAACACCTGAGAAACCACAAAAGCAGAGTGACCCAATCGCGTGGCGGCGCGGTGTCCGAGCAGGCGAAAGGGGGCAGAGAGCAAAAGCATGCGCAAGCCAGCTAATGCAAAAAGCAAAGTTTCTTTGTTGCAGCGCGTTTTAAGTGACCTGGTCTAGTTCGTCCCTATGGCACTGTCTGCCAATGAGCGGTTGCCATGAAGGGCGGGGCCACACCCCATACTGACGTAGGAAGGGTCAATAATTAACAGACTGCATGTAGATTTCATGTGGTAAAACTCTTGCAAGATTGAAACTCTTACATCAAATGTTACAAGATGAATACTGTTTGTACTACTAGTTTTTCATTTACACCATTGTATTGCAAATGTCACTAGCTTTCGTTCAATACCAGACATCATACATCTCAGACACATACAGATCATTTTACTCTGTTATAAGAGTTAAAACAACACATGATTTAACCTAGTTGATTGGAATAAACAGCATATGAGGAACATTATGGCATATTATTCAAAGATACATCTGCCTTAGTTCTAACATTTTAAGAGATTGTCTTTTATTCATATACATTAATGTTTCTAGAGATCTCTTTGTCTCTACGAAATTGTGCTTCTAGCAGGATGTGCCCAAGGCGAGCACATGACCAGGAGTCAATTAAAAGTCTCGTGAAATGGTTTCCGCTGAAGATCCTGTAAGGGCCATTGTTTTTTAATTTAACTGATTTAATTAATCATTGGCTAGTTAGCCGAAGGGTGCCAGAACATCTGCATAGAAGTACTGGTCAGAGGAGCCCGAAATCAATTGGCGCTCTGTTATCCTGATGGTATAAGCCCTCAAGCTAGTTCAATGAATGAGACCATTGGAGATGCCCAAGATTTCAGATTCAACTTGTGTTGACCACTGCAATATGCCGATGAGTTCCTTCATCTCCCCCTTTGACTGGCGATGTTCCCGGTGTGAACATTGGCAGGCACTGGAACAAACAGGCAGAAGCAGAGAGAACAGGCAAACACAAGACACAAACAACATCATCACTAACTGAATCTTGGTGCAGGGTTTAGGAACTTTGGAGTGCTTGGGTTAGCAATGCTCAAGGTGTAGAAGAGCATAGTTTAGTATGATCAGAATTTAGGCTTTTAAGACTAACCGAGGTATTGAAGGTTCAACGAAGTTGTATAGGCATTATCTCAATCAGTAAAGAATTTAATTTTTGGTCAGCGTTATCGCATCTAAGCATGCGCGAGATGTGGGGCGTGCACATTTGAACAACTTTTGGATGGCCTTTACTCGCTCGTGGAGGAAGAGGGCAAGTGTCAAAGTCAACGTATACCCTACAATGCTATTTTGACGAGAGTCAAACCAATAAATTTCATTCTTTACCCTCAATCCCTTTTTCGGTTCTGGATTGAAGATGAAGAAATGTGGAAAACGAATCTTTTGAATTTTTGCCTAAAACGTGTCGTCAGACAGGTGCTACAACGTTAAATTACCAATACAGCGATCACACCTTTAAGGCATTGATCCGTGAGGCTTGGTGAAAGGAGTCAATCCTAATTCTGAGCTCTGGACTTAAACATCATCTGTGGGGGTTCCCTGATGAGGCAAGAGAAATTAAAAGACGGAGAGAAAGAGAAAGAAAAGAACACTGAGACATAAGGACATTGAGTGAGGTTAACACAACAAACAAGTGTCACATATGTAATAGCTCCTCTCTACTAGAGATTGGTCCTAGTAGTGCAGTGGAGGGGAGAGTGCATGTAGTGGGTTTAGGAAACATAGCTAGGGCTAGGTGTCTTCCTAAAATGGCACAAATGACAAAAACAGGTTAGCGTTAAAATAAGAGTTTAGGATAGTGGGTCTGTGTCAGCAGGTTGGTTCCTCCCCCTTTCTGGTCACGTGGAGTTGAGGGACTGGAGTTGGCATGGCACAGGTAGGATTTGGATTGATTCTGAGTTCAGCTGCGTGGCAAACGATCAAGACAGCACTCTTAGGAATTGGAAGGGTTTCATCCACAAGTGTTTGTGTGATGCAGTGGTGACCTGAGGCATCAGGTGTTGAGTTAGCGTCTAACTCTGGTGTTCAGGTACAGTCTTTTGAGTCTTTGAAGTTATGGTGCTTACAGTTCTTTGTAAGTGAGGTGAAGAGGTGCTGTTTAGTGAGGTCGTTGCTTGTCAGGCAGAATCAGGTTTTCCTTTCCTTTCCCACTTCCGATCCGCTTCCCTTCGTTGGAAGAACTCTTTCAGGATCATTTTCATCAGTTCTTGAGGGTCAAAACATGGTGATGTTGTCCCTTGTGGGGATTCAGTTGGAGCTCGATCAGCGTGGAATCTTTGTGAGTTCTTTCGTTGACCTCTTGGGCTGGTTGTATCAAGGTGATGTTGCTTTACTTTGGAAGTACCACTTGATTCCCACGAGCTTGTCCCCCTTTGGTTTACAAATGAGGTAGACCTGTTCCACGGTCTCTCCCGGTGACGTTCAGGTGAGTGTTGTCGTCCAGACAGTCCTTTCCAGCGACGGTTCCACTGTTTGGGTCTGGTATCAGCATGACAGTCTCGTTGTCTGTTGTAAGACGACACATTCCACTCACTGGGAGGTAGATTAGCATTGTCTGGGCCTTGGGCACCCTCAAGGGCCAGATCTTGACTTTGAGTGTTAAAGTCATAAACAGCAGGGATTTTGGCACTCTTCTCTGAAGCCGTCTTTTGTTTGACGTAGGCTTTATGTGCCAAATCTCGTAATTGCTGAGTGTTCATCGTGTGGGGGCATGCAAGAACCCCAAGATGGTGGCTTACCCCAGGATGGAGGTTTCTCAGGAAGAGGATTTTGAAGTTCAGGTCCTCTTCCATCTCAGGTTCATTGCGGGTGCCGAAGTAGGCTCGTCTGAGTCTGCTGTAGTAGGCTTGAGAAGACTCATGGCGACCTTGTTTCGTCTCCAGGGCAGCTACAAGTCCTTGTTCAGACTCGATGTCATCAAACTCTCTGATGAGGGCTTCTCGGAGCAGGAGGTAGTCAGTCTTTGTATGAGCCGGCTGACGGTCCAGGAAGCTGCGCACTTCAGGGCTGGAGGTTGCTCGGAGCAAATACAGTCTATCTTTGTCAGTGACATTGGGTCTCATTTCCAGGTGAAAGTCAATGTCTTGCAGATAGGCGTGAACATCTTGGCTACCTGGCAAATTCGGCGTGAACTTGCCCAGGTTCTTGACTAGCTTGTCAAGGTCTCTGAGGTCCAGGCCACATAGTGATACGTGGTTGTCTGGAACAGAAGGAGATGGTGAGGGTTTTGGCAGTGACCCCTCAGCTTTCTCATTGTGTGTCAGTTGATATGCATGCTTGAGTTCATCTTTAATGCTGTTGGACTCTTCTTTGATGTAGTCCAGCTGCTGCGTTAGTTGTCTGACCTCATGTCTAGCTTCACTCAGGTGAGTTTCGAGGGCTTTGATTCTGCTGTCCTTGTCTTTAGAGTCAGCATTTACCTCTTCCAGTAGCTGTTCAACATACTCAAGCTTGTTAGCGACGTCAGCCTGGTCGGCTTTGGCTTGCTCCATTTCTTGGGTGGTGGCGGCAAGAGTCTCTTGAAGTTTATCGATCTCCTCTTTGGCAGTTTGATCAGTCTCATCTGGCTGTTCCGGTCGTTCCTGAGCCTCCAGTTCTAGCTGGTTGATGCGGGACTGCATATGTGTCAGCTTGTGCTGGAGCTGGGCGGAATGCCTGTCACTCAGCTTAAGGGTGGCGATGAGGACGTGACTCAAAGTACCTGTGATTTTGGCTAGGTCTTTGTGATTGTAGCTTTTGCTCGGGTCTTGCTTCATAAGGCTGTTCAGGTTCTCATCCAGCTGGTCCTGTGTCAGATGCTGTAGCGTTTCAGCGGCCTTAGGGAGGAGGCTGTCCGTTGCAACACTTAGCCATGCTTCTAGGTCCTTCCAGTGGCCAACAGGGTCTTTAGGGTGAGCCATGTTTGCGGCGGTGAGGGGGAAGACCTATAACCGACACTGACACAAACCTAGGGGAGAGAGAGAGAGAAAAGAACAAAAGAAAACAAAACAAATGGCAAACAAAAAGTGTCAGGGTGTAATGTCAGGTGCGAGCTACTGTTGAGTGTGGAATAAACAAGTGGGTGTTGTTCTCTGTGACTGTGATCCTCTAGGGGGCGTGCATCTAACTTGTAGTCTCTGTGGGGACAGTCAGTAAACACACACAGTTAGAGAACAGAGGAAGAGAAGAGGACTGACAAGGAGTAGAGTGATAATTGGCTGCTTCCAGGTTCCTAGAGAGAACAATTCCTTTAGCTTTTGTCAAGCATTAGGTGAAAGTATGCTTCTCGGCTGGAAGTTGGAAATGGGGAGCTCTAAACACCAGGACTGTGATTGTTATTAACTTTCCTCCGAGGTGAAAGAAAATACAATAACAATGACAGGATTGGTTTCTTACTCATTAGGATTGACACCATACACCAAGTAGACCACTTTTGGATGGGGATCTAGAATCAAATTTGAAAACACCGGTCTTCTGGTTGACTCGTTTCGTCCTTGATTGGGTAGCGTCCTATGGCGAGAAAGGGTAGAGAGAGTCAGATTATTTTAACACGAAATGTTTAGGTTTCACAACATCTGTTAAATGTTTCTAACATTCTCTGCTTTCATGATTCACACAGGTACAATCTCAAAAGGGCAGAAGTAGTCAACTCGGAAGAAGACAGTTAAAAGAAACAATAGAAAGTGAAGCAAGTTTTCAAATTACAAAGTTGACAAAGTGGTGGCACTGTTGAGTCAATACATCAAAAGGGGTTGGTTTATTGTGTTATCAAGACAACTAATTAGCCTAAGTAGACAGGAAAATCCTATATTTCCTTATGTGTTTGGCTAATCGAAGGCTACTGCTCTGGTATGCTAGGTTTAACGATGACTTGAGTTCAGTTGTAGCCACCTACAGGCAACACTGTCTCATTGCATCAACCAGACACCAGGGGGAGCACTGTCCTGCGAGGCAATTTAATACTTGAAGGATAATAAAAAAAACTTGATTGCAAATTAATTTAAAACTAATTCAAATTATAAATGACATGAAATGATTCAGAAATATGATTTTTATCAATAACCTTGATTAAGAGTTGCTATAATTAAATAAATCAATAATTGTAATAGAAAAGGGAAACCAAACACCAATTAACTATTAATGAAACTAAAATTTTCAAATAGTAATAATGTTGGTTGAGACTAACACTCAGTGAGGTTGTCATTAAAGTCATAAACACAATTATGATTTAATTAATCAGCAAGCATTCCTGCAAATCAGTTATGAGAACAAATCAATTTCAAAATCAATGATGATAGGGAATGCGTGGTATTCCTGATGTCATTAAATTTGATCAAAAGTGTTTATTTAAAATTAATCAATAACTGTTATTGAGATAGGGCAGCCAAGCATCAATGAACTATTAAATGAAATTAAAGTTTCAGAATAGTGATTGTGTTTGTAAAGTCCCAGGACAATAAATGTTATAATTAAATTAATACGTAAACACTGTGCTTATAAATCAACTTCAAATATCAACAGTCATAGAAAATGGTTGTTCCTATAATGTTGATAAGTTTCAGAAGAGAAAAGCATTAATCATTAATTAAGCATTAATTTGATTGAGCAATCAAAAGCATTATGTTATAGTCATAAACTATAATTCATTGCTAATAAACCAACAACTTATGAGCATTTGAATTTATAAAACAGGCCAGGTTAAACAGGAAAAGCATTTGACAATTGTGATTAAACCAGCGATGAGATCGCGTACAATGGGGTTTACTAAATCTGCATTAGTCAAAGCCTTTTCCAAGAAAGAGGGAAAAATGAGAAAGAAGGCAAATAGCCTATAAAGAGTGAGAAATCAAGATTCAAAATCTCGCTAGCGTGAATTAGGTTGTCACTTCAACTTAACACACTGCATTTAAGACCATAAGAAGAGCGCTACTACACTAGCCTTTAATGCTATAATGGCATAGCCATACCACACACTTCAATGCAACAGCGTGAGCTTCAGTTAGCTTAGCCTTGTGCTAATGTCTACAGCCGATGCAAGCGCGGAGGACTGCGCATGCGCACTTGAGAGTACTCTGAAAGTCTTCCAGGACTTTCGGGAGGCTGTTACTATGACGACGTACACAGAATGAACCAATATGCGGTTATGCCCACAAACATACATGCATTACATGAAATGGCGGCGCATTTCACACTGCTCAACATAATATAGCACTATTAAGATCTCGGCGGATCCTAGCGCTCTGTGTCAAGACTATTCACAGTCAAAGACACGCGTGGATTCAATCACGCACACTTTACTTGATCAAGATAAGTTCTCCCGTGAGAATACGCTCTGCCGCTCTCTCGAGCGCGGCGCGCTGAGTTCACTAACTCTGATGCTAGTGAATTAGATGGCAAAAAGACAGTTAGCTACTCTGTGCTTAATTTGACCAGGGAGAAATGCACAGTTAGTCTTTAAAGCTGGGACACGCACCTTTAAATCAACTGTGAAGGCCTTATAGGAGAAAGAATAAGGAACACGCTTATTGTTTCTCAATCCGTGCGCTTTACAGCGACGTATCGTTTTTGTCTCGTGGACAAATAACTATTTACTGCAGTTCGCTTTCTCAAAAGCACTCGAGTTGCGCATTCGTGCGTTTCAACACACTGGGTACCACAATAAATCATACAGTAACACAACAACTTTGTTTCTCTGTCTCTGATCTATTCTTCCGGACAAAATAGAAAAGATAAACAATGTTTTTGTGCTTAAAAGTCAGATCGTGCTGTGCCTAAAAATTCTCCACCATTAATATGTAGGGGATCAACCTACGTTTTAATATCGATCAGGGGTTTATTAGCTCATTTCAATGAATCGGATCCTGAAGATTCGAATCATTGATTCGACTCAATTGAGTCAGATTGAATCAGATTAAAAGATTCACACTTTATCTACCATTTGTCCCGCAAATAGAAGACATCGTATCTTACCAATCTTGTTAATATTATTTACGTGGCCAACGATAATAACATAACACAGTATTGGGTTAACTTTAGCAGGGTAACAAGATCTACAGCTCGAGGCAATGACTTAGAAGCACATAAACAAGAACACAGTTCTTACAAAATGAGTACAAAGATTTATTGAGCTACACTACGATACATGAAACTAACTACGTAATAAGCAAACAACAAACAAACAAACACACATTCACACATACACACAAAGGCAGTTCAGAGGATGCAAAATGAGTTGACAACGTCCCAAATTAATTCTAATACTTCTTGCAAGATCTTAGAATAACACCTGAGAAACCACAAAAGCAGAGATATGGCTTATCTTTAACTGCTTAAGATCAATCTGCACAAGATCAGCAAGAGACAACATTAGTTTGTGTTACTTGCGCCCTTTTTGCTGAAGTCGAATCTCCCTCGCCGGCTGGCCTTGGGGAAACACGGTGCTCCTGATTGGGTGGTTTCTCGCTTCGATGACGTCTTTGGGATTCACGCGCTCGTGAATGGCTGTTGTCCTGGGTTACCGAGGTGACGGACTGCTGAGAGTCGGTTTGCGGAAGTTCATGCAGCTTCGGGAGTCCCGAAGCTTAAGAGGTTTGCGTGGAAGTTCGTAGTGACCCAATCGCGTGGCGGCGCGGTGTCCGGGCAGGCGAAAGGGGGCAGAGAGCAAAAGCATGCGCAAGCTAGCTGATGCAAAAAGCAAAGTTTCTTTGTTGCAGGGTGTTTTTAAGTGACCTGGTCTGGTTCGTCCCCATGGCACTGTCTGCCAATGAGCAGTTGCCATGAAGGGCGGGACACACCCCGTACTGACGTAGGAAAGGTCAATAATTAACAGACTGCATGTAGATTTCACGTGGTAGAACTCTTGCAAGATTGAAACTATCTTACATCAAACGTTACAAGATGAATACTGTTTGTACTACTAGTTTTTCATTTACACCAACGTATTGCAAATGTCACTAGCTTTCGTTCAATACCAGACATCATACATTTCAGACACATACAGATTATTTTACTCTGTTATAAGAGTTAAAACAACACATTGATTAACCTAGTTGATTGGAATAAACAGCATATGAGGAACATTATGGCATATTATTCAAAGATACATCTGCCTTAGTTCTAACATTTTAAGAGATTGTCTTTTATTCATATACATTAATGTTTCTAGAGATCTCTTTGTCTCTACGAAATTGTGCTTCTAGCAGGATGTGCCCAAGGCGAGCACATGACCAGGAGTCAATTAAAAGTCTCGTGAAATGGTTTCCGCTGAAGATCCTGTAAGGGCCATTGTTTTTTAATTTAACTGATTTAATTAATCATTGGCTAGTTAGCCGAAGGGTGCCAGAACATCTGCATAGAAGTACTGGTCAGAGGAGCCCGAAATCAATTGGCGCTCTGTTATCCTGATGGTATAAGCCCTCAAGCTAGTTCAATGAATGAGACCATTGGAGATGCCCAAGATTTCAGATTCAACTTGTGTTGACCACTGCAATATGCCGATGAGTTCCTTCAACTGTTTTAAACCATTCCTGAGCGCTGCGTTTTGCGTTTCAAGTGCAGACAAAGAACTTAGAGAGATGCATTCTGCGTGAATGTCTCCCGAATTCGCGCATGTCGTGAACATTTTGCAGTAAAAACTGGTCGCACACAACAATTTTAAGCACTCGCAGAAATGCTCCCAAATATATTTTGAGGTCGCATAGATAAAATTTCGGGCGCATATGCGACCAAAATGGTCGCAATTTCGAGCCCTGTATTATGTTGTGAATATACCCCTGTAATGTATACTGCAGTCCTCTTTTGTCTGGCTTTCTCAGATATCTCACCTGTTTGCCAAAAATGACTAATTAAATCCTTGGGAATGTCTGACACCAGCGCATACACACTGTAATAGATGTGCCAGGCATGAAAGCTTGACAGGCGTAGTAGCAACAGTAACTAAGGAGGGCGAGGCTTAGCGAAGGGTTATTCCAAGAATGTTGATATGGTTTCTTTCTTGCTTTACTATTTATTAACAATACACAAAAAACTAAAAGGTTAAGGTAAATTCTTTAATAAATTCTAGTGTTTTTGAGTATTATACTTGTTGTATACTTGTATTATACTTATGTTTTAGGCTAGTATTATTTACGACTTGTTAATGAATGCTTCATAATACAGTAGTATTACCAATAGTGAACAGATAAAATAATACAAAGTGTAGTTTTACTACAGTAAAGTGTAGTGATTTGTAGTATAAAATACCCTATATTGTAAAATAATACAGCACTGGGTAATTTGTTTATATTACACTTGTGTTACCATAGCAACTATAGTATTACCACAACTGATCAATTGAAGTTCTTTACTGTAGGAGGCTACTGTTCAAAACACAGTACATGCCAATATACGTGTTCAGGGGCCCTGTGGAACAGCTTTCCTCAAAATGAAGAGGATGACATGGAAAATGTCCTCCACAATCTCATCAGCAAAGTGGAAGCCAGCAGACACTAGTTTACTTTATTTTAGCTGCCATGATAAAATGAGATTGATAGTGAGATTACAGTAGACTATAATACCTTTTCAAGTGTTTCCTTATTTTTATCACAGTTACATTTCTGCTTGCATTAGTTTTTGTTTAAATGCTTTTAAAATAAAATGTATTCTTTACATCCAACATCTATTCCAGGGGTGCCTTATAGTGGTGTAAACCCCTTTACAAGNGGGTGTTACCCTCTGTGTAAACTCTAGCCACCCCTGTGGCCAACCCTGATATGATTTTGCTGTTGACATTATTTATTTAAATCTACTTACATAAATGCAATACAATGCAATATTTCAATAAATAAATAGCAGCCATTAAATTATTGTGGATTGATTGGTGCCACTGACGTAGCTGGCCTCTTCTGGCCCCCCTTAAGCAAATTTTCAGGGGGGCACCACTGGTCTATTCTCTGTCTTTAAGTGTTTGAAACTGAAAATATCTCATCATATAAAACAACCAAAAATGTTATGGTTTATTAGATTAAACATTTAATATATAAGTCTATTTTAGTATTTTGGTTATTGTTATTAAACAGTGCAGCAATATGAATCATATCAAAAAGCATGAAAGGAAGAGGGAACACGACACAAATTGTGAGTTTGCATATAATCTCTGAGAGCGCTCAAGAAAATGTGTGTGTGAGCAGTGCATATTTGAGAGCGAGAGAAAATTTGAGAACTCGCAATCAGTTTTGTCCACAAACAGAGGAAATCTGTGCACGAGCATCACACAAGGTAGAGAGCAAAGCTCTTCAACGTTATGTGAAGAAAACAACTTTATTGTTTGTATGAAGTAGCCTACTTCATTAACAATATGTGCTACCATTTTACATTGCTGCTAGACGGATTTGCAACTCCAACTCTTTAGCACACACGAGATTCAATTGACAAAATTCCAATTTCACTCAATTTAACTTTGCAGCATATACAGGAGTTGGTCTACTGCTACCACATTGAGGTTATGTAATTTTGGTTAATCACAAGTTGATCACCGAAGACATAACATAGCACAACTAAACTTAATGAATTAGACAGCAGTAGACCTGCAATTTCTGTGTGATGTGAGGCAAAATGGAGTCTTTTTTTGGTGGAACTCGTTCTTGTGCATTATGCTGTGGAGACGAGACGCAGCACTGTTCAGTACTTTTTCAGAAAATTGCATTTGTATTTTTATATATCTAAGCAATGTTCTTTAATAAAAAAAGGTTTGTTTAATTAATACAGATCTTACAACCATACCTAATCTGTATATATTTTATTTTTCTGTTAAAAAGACTCGAAAAGACTCGAAAATCAAACTGCAGGACTTTGGACTTGACTTGAGACTTGTTGCCTTTGACTCGGGACTTGACTCGGGACTTGCCTGTCTTGACTCGGGACTTGACTCGGGACTTGAGGGCAATGAATTGAGACTTACTTGTGACTTGCCAAACAATGACTTGGTCCCACCTCTGATATATATATATATATATATACACACACACACACACACACACACACACACACACACACACACACACACACACGTAAATGTAGTGAAATTTTGTTTAAATGCATGCAATTTAAAAGAACGTTATAATGACATAACGTTAAACCTATTTTAAATTATGTATTTCGTATACTGATGTACAACTTAAAGGCATGAGTAAAGCTTTTAATTTTAGATGCTACCAATTATGTAAATGTCACATATAAATAAATAAACATCATCAAAAAGTTCTCAAGTCATTAACAAAGGTTGGAGAATTATTGTAGTTACCGATAATAATGTTGCTGATATGGTTAGGGTTAAAATGTCAAGACTGCGTGCTGTCAGTCAAACAATTGCTAAATGGTCTTTTGTTTACACTTGTCAAAGAGGATAAGTGTAACGGAGTAGGTTGATCGCTCTTTTACCGTGCTTAAGTGAAATGAATGACCACAGAATGACTAATTTGCACTGCACCAGTTTATAGTGAACACGCTGGTGTTTTGTGACGTTTTAAGTGACGTGCGCACACACACACACACACACAAACCCTTTGATAGGGTCAAGCATACCCAGAATTATGAGACAAACACATTCTTAGTCATCTTTCCGATCGCCATGGAGGCGAGCATTGGTTTATTTATCAGAAGAAAATATGCATCTTAAACTTTAAAGAACATAATGGAAAACAAAAATAATAAATCAGCATGTGGGGGTCCAAACAAAAAAACAAAACAAAAAAAAAAAAAAACAAAGTCCAATAACTCAGATAAAGCCACAAGGCCATGATGTCTATACAGCTCAGAACAATTAGCTGCGCAGATTGGAATCAGGTGGCAGCAATCTGCAAACAAAAGAAATTAGGAAACCAAAAAAAAAAAAAAAAAAAAAAAACAGGACGTAGCACAAGTATAAATGCATGCCATTCTCTCCCTCTCTCACACACACACACACACACACGTATGTTTTTTTAATGCAACAACTTAATTCTCACCTCTTCTGTGTTTCGCATGACCCCAAACAAGATGAGCTGCTCAAGTGGAAGTGACCTTGACCTTGTTGCCACGCAAGAGTTCAACATCAGCATGAATCGAATTGAAACATTTTTAGTGTGCCAAGTAGACGAGTTACGGGAAATCGCATAGAACCTTCAGAGAAGCAACGGAGACCTTGACAGAAAGAGATCTACCCGCTGTGCAGAGTGAGCTGTCTGCCCTCAAATCCACCATCCCAGACCAGGGCAGGCAAATGGAGGAACTTAAGGGCAAGCTAGCGACAGAGGCAACCGACAAGGACAGACCCAACGACAGCACCGACGATGAAAGCGCCAACGATGACAGCGACAACGACAGTGACGACATGGCCTCGCAGGCACCTGCTTTGTCTATGCCAGATGCCAAAAGAGAGAGAGAGAGTGAAGAAGGCCTGGACGACCTCCTGCAGCTATTTTGGCCCACAAATACACAAGTACCAGGGAGCAGCTGAATGAAAGGCCACAAGCCCATGCAAGTAAAAAAAAATATTATTATTATTATTATTATTTTATTATGACTCAAGTCAATTAGACTTTTCCTCCAACCTCAATTAAAACACTGCTGATCCAAATAATTGAAAATGTGTGACACTTTGATTATTTGCATCAGCTGTATCAGATTGGCTATGGCTATGCTAGATAGCTTGGCTATGCTCTCTTTCTTGCTTGTCTCTCTGGTCAGAAACGGCATCAAAACTTCTCTCAATTAAAACGGTCTGTGTTGCGTTTTTTCCATGACAAGATGGACTCTGACGAAGAGCTGGACCTGTCCTCGGAGGAATCGGTTCAAGACAAACTCAAGTCCCTAGAAAACTTCACCATCGAGCACATATCCAGTTTACAGCAGGACACCAGGAGACTTGGCTGGTTTGAAGGCAAAGGTGGACTCTCTTAAAACGCTCGTTGCCGACCAAGGCCGACAGCTGCAGGAACTGAGGGACAGCCTGGAAAGGAAAACAGGAAGGAACAGCAAGACGGCAGGTGTTTAACTTTCGTGACGGACAACCTGATTGAGACAGGTGACAACTGAACACATTTACACGGTCTGGTGTTAAATTGCATCACACTAAAACAAATACCTGTTAATTCCATCAGGATGAACGCAAGCTGGAGAGTGACGCGTCCATAGTGAAGGCGGAAGGAGTTGCAGAGTCGTCAAAAGGCTACCGCAAACCAAAAATGTAGTTGTACATCAAAGAAAAGCACAGCAGCAGGAGTTACCTCAAGAAAAATGCACAGAAAGTTATTGGTGAGAAAGAAATGGACTTTTTTTTTTTTTTTTAATTTGGTGTCGTGGGCTGGAAGGAGAAATTACCAGAAGGTAGAGCTGTTTTGTCTGCGGTTCTCTTCTTCTCGTGTGACAGTTCGAAGTGACACAACTGCACCATTAAGATTATGCAACTTAATAAACTTTTACAATCATCTTCAAACTTTTGACTGTTCTTTTAAAATGCACAAATACATACTTGTGTATAGCTCGATGGTTTCTAAATCCATGTATGAAGGGTCACAACTCCGCACAGTTCTGCTGCAACGCACAGCTGCTTTAAAATATTCTTAAGCACCTCTGTAAGTTGAATCAGGTGTGTTTTTAATTGGTATTAGAGTAAATATGTGCAGGGCAGCCAATTAAGTTTTAAGACCTATATGAGCTCATACATATTTTATTTAATTGTGTGTGTGTGTAAAATATACACAAGTATGTAGCATTGGTCTCAAACTTGCATTTACACACAATTTTAGACCTTTTTACGAGGATTTTTCATACTGTGTTGGGATTTTAAGCTAACCAGAAATAACTGAAACAAAAATGACAATGGTTATTATTGATGCCATTTTTTATTTATTTATTTTTTTGTTTTGTTTTTTTAAAGAAACCCATACTTGTTTCAGACGTTGATGTCAATCTTGCAATAATGGCTCTCAAAATCGTCGTTTCAATTTTATTATTTGTCAGAAAATGCTTGCCTTATAATAATAATAATAATTATTATTATTATTATTATTAATGACAATCATCATTAATAATGAATCATCAGATTTTCACCGAACAGGTGTACTATTCAGTCATATTAATTATTCGAATTTTAATAATGTATATAAATATGTATAAAATTATATATACAGATATTCTATACATGTATATAAAATAAAAACTGCTGGGAGTGCAGTTAAGCGTGTTCAAAAAATAATAAAATAAATAAAACACGATTAGCCAATCAGGGCCTATACCCGCACATTTCAAAAAAAGCGCCAAAAAGAACAGCATCCGTTAAGACCCGAGTGACCCTCACACACAAACCACACACCCGCGACACCGCACGCGACACATTGCTGCAAGGATAAAGGTAAATTTTATGATTTGTTGTATCAACACTTCGATATATTCGAATGTTTGGGTGACTTGTTTATTGTTTGCGTCCATATTGTAACCTGATAGTCGCGTTGTTTGATGCCTCCAGCGCTTTTCATAATGAATCTCAAAGCTGCCGAGCTTAAAATGTGTAAGTTAGCTTGATGTATCAAAGTGACGCTAATGTTTGTGATCGTATATTAATTCGGGCTTTAACGTAAACGTTAGATACTTGACTTTTAGTGCAGACCTGGAGTTGCCAAAGGCCACGTTAACTGCATTTGCGTATATTCACGTACAGCCTTACCTATAAACTTTTCAAAATAATGTCCGAATTAATGTCATTTCCACGCTGCATATTTTTAAGCAGGATGTTTCAATCGTTCTTGTTAAACTACACGTGCAGCCAAAAAAGGTGTTTACTTTGATCCACGCAAAATAGATATTTTGAAAAATAATGCATGAAACAAGTTAACTTAAGTCATTGCTCAAATGTGAAGATGCGTGTATTTTTCTAAATCTATCCCACAAGCACACCTACGTGTGCCTGAGGTCAGAAGTTGTGACAGGGGGATTTGACTGTAAGTTTGTTCGAATATTTTAATTCCATCATTCATTTTCTTTTCGGCTCAGTCCCTTTATTAAGTCCCCGGGTCGCCACAGCGGAATGAACCGCCACTTATCCAGCACATGCTTTACGCAGCGCATGCCCTTCCCGCTGCAACCCATCCTTGGCAAACATCCATACACGCTCATTCACACACGCTCATTCACAACAGACAATTTCAGTCTACCCAATTCACCTGTGCCACTTGTGTTAGGACTGTGGGGGAAAACGAAGAAAACCCACACGAACGTGGGGAAAACAGATTTTCAACCTACTTCAAAATATCTTTGTTTTTGTGCAAACATTGATTGCTCTAATGCGTGTGTTCTTTTCAATATTTTTCAGAAGGCTCCAGATCACACTAGTGCTACAGAGATGCCACACGCCCCCCAACTCCCCCCACATATTGTTTACACATATCTTGATTCGTTCGTTTCCTTTTCGGCTCAGTCTCTTTAATAATCCGGGGTCGCCACTGCGGAATGAACCGCCAACTTTTCCAGCACATATTAGACTGGCAAAGCCTTTTTACCTATTTACAGTACTGTATACCCTTAATTGGCAGATGGGACAGGGTATGAGAAAAAAAAAAAGCTTGGTTCCCGCAAGAGATAGGGTAAAATGTGCGGGAATGTAAGAGCTGATGGTGTTAATCGTTGAATTTGCAACAATGTTGCAACTTTGTGTGGGAGCGTGGGGGAGGGGAAGAAAACAGAGCACGAGAAAGGACGAGGACAGAATGTGGGAACACTGGACCTACGCTTTCAAGACTTTCATTAGACCTGGGTCTGTTGTACCAGAACACCTTGAATGTAATGTAAATGTGTGGGGGAAGGTACATTTATGCGGAAGTACATACTTCAGAATATCCCAGTTTTTGTTCCTGTACAAACATTGATTGCTCAAATGTGAAGATGCGTGTGTTCATCTCAATATTTTTCAGAAAGGAAAGTCTCCCGATCACAACAGAGCTAAAGAGATGCCACACGCCCCCCCCATTTGCAAGATGAAAATGTGCCGGAGATCCAAAGAAGCGGATCAAGTGTACGTTTTTTTTTTCTTTTCTTTTTTTTTTTTTTTACGAATATCTTGATTCGTTCATTTTCTTTTCGGCTCAGTCTCTTTAATAATCCGGGGTTGCCACTGCGGAATGAACCGCCAACTTGTCCAGCACATATTACACTGGCAAAGCCTTATTGTATCCCCTAATTTGCAGATGGGACAGGGTATGAGAAAAAAAAAAAAGCTTGTGTGCAAATGTGGTGATGCATGTGTGCTCTTCATATTTTTCAGGACGGCGCGCCAAAGCATCCTGGTGAGGTCACAGAGAGAAGAGATGAAAACATGCCACAGCCACATGCAATCGTGAGAAAACAGACAGCGGCTGAAAGAGAGAGAGAGACGGTGAGTTTATTTATTTATTTATTTTTAAATATGTTCGTTCATTTTCTGTTCGGCTCAGTCCCTTTATTAATCCGGGGTTGCCACAGCGGAATGAACCGGCGACTTTTCAAGCATCCTCGTTTTTGTTTCTGCACAAACAATCATTGCTCAGGTGTGGTGACGCATGTGTGCTCTTTTCCATATTTTTCAGTCTTCCGATGACAGCGACGTGACCGTGACGAGAGAACCCACTCCAGAAAGAGACCCTTGCGTTCCTGAGCTGATAAGAACTGAAAGTGTGATCGTAAGTTTCTTTGAATAATTTAGCACATTTAATGAAACCCACATCTTTTATAGGTGTGTTCAGAGTTCAGATCAGTCTCACCTCATTCCCTTTAAGAGTCAGTTGTGTAGCGCCATGGCGCATTTGCTATTTACATGACGTAAAGTAAGAGTAAGTGGGAAAAACTGAGCATTTCACTAGCAAAGAAAAACAGTTGAACAGCATCTTCAGCGCGAGAATGAGAGATAAATGAATAAATTTCACTTTCGCTCTCGTGGATAGGATAACCTTGTACACACAGACATCAATTACCCTATAAATAATTCATTGTGTTTGTTAAGCGCAAAGATTTGTTTCAAAATCTATTTCTAAATTCGGTTCTAATTTCCAGCAAACGAATAAAAGAACAATAAATACAACGTGTGGTCAAAAAAACTTGAGATATATCCTAATACACATGCTAGCTTGTTATTAATAAAACAAATATAAATAGGCATATAATAAATAATACTGCTAATAATCATAACATTATACAAAAGCAAATTGTTATGAATGAACTGAAAAAGCCTCCCGAGATGAAGAAGGGATGAAGTCAGTGGTTTTTATATTGATGTAGGCTAGTCTATTGAATATTGATTTGTCTATTGATAGTCCATTGTTCTGGTCTATTGAAAACTCTATTATAGTTTCTCAAAATAGCAATGCGCTTTAATACGCCTCCCTTTTTAGGCCAGAACGCCTATGGGCGGGCGCACATACGAGCGCAAATGCATTTGCTATTTAAAGAGCGTGGCGCAAATCGTCAAAGCGACTCCTGCGCCAACCGTAAACTAGCAAACAACAATTGCGTCGTGCCTTGCGCTTCACATTGCGCCCGGTGTATGATAGGGCCCTCAATGTGTTGCAAATTGAAAGTGGCGTCGTTTCTTTAGTTTGGACACTGAAACTTTCACTTTAGACAGACCTTTATAGTTTTAGGATGTTGTTGTTCATGTCACTTCTGGTCAAAATATTTAACTTGTGCCTTTTATTCGTAGCTTACGATGGAAATCCTTGAACGTGGTACAGAGGAGTCTAACGCGGGTCCAGAGATGAGTGAGGATGACTGTAACCGTTCTGGCCAGGATGTCAGTAGTGAAAAGGTAAAGTGAGCTGCAAAGTCTGCACTCCGTCCATGTTTGATAGTGCCATTGCGTTTTTCGGTTTAAATCGCCTCAAGAAAAAATATTACATGTGTAACGCCTGTTTCACACCGCAAGCGTCAGCGGCGCGTGAGCAGAGCGTGCGCAGCGCGCATGTCGAGCAGTAGCAGCACGCAGGCGTTTGCCTTTCACACCAGCTGCGTTTGCAGCGCACAGCTCTTCGGCAGCTGCTGCAGAGATCAACCTATCTGTCTATTCTATCTAGTTACCCATGTCTCTCTATATACAAATACACTTTTTAAACTTTTCATCTGCACCAAGGCCCCTCCTATGCTGTGTCTTTAACCTGCAAATGTTTATTTTACAAATTTTATAGATCAAATAGTACTGTTTGCTTCTCAAGCTAACTTATATGAGAAGTGTCTACAGTCAGAAGACAATCGCCTGTGATAT